TATTTGTAGGAGCTGCCGTTGCCGTTGATGTTGAAGCTTATGTCTTCTCAATGGGATCATTCGACGAGCAGAAAATGGTTATTAATGGTTTTCAAGCATTCCCAAGAGAATTAAATAACAAAAGACACGGCGGCCATGTTGGAGGATATAACAAAAGAATTAATTGACAATTCTTTTGTTAAATTCCTCCAACATGGCCGACGGTTTCAGCATGATGGCGTCATTTGACTACATTTCCAAAATGCATCGCGAATATTTTCTTCTTATTCAAATTTGTATTTCTTCATGAGAAAAGTAAGACAATTAGTGCTTATTAACTGGACAATAGAAAGTGTGCAAGGGATTCTGGTAGTTGTAGGTAATGACGCCATAATGCAAATGTCCTATTGATTAATATTAATGAATAATAATTTTATCATGATGTGAAAAATAGCATAGAATAAAGGCCTGGGCCGGGTTGTTCAAAGCTGGATTAGCGCTAATCCAGGATTAACTCTATAGGTCTTATTAAGAGTTAACCCGGGATTAGCACTAATCGGGCTTTGAACAACAGGGCCCTGCAAACAAGTAAAATATTATTGGACTCAACTAGTAAAGAAAGACATCATACAAAAGAAAATTTAATTTGGCTATTATTTTTAGGAGAGAGTGGCATGATGAATGGAAAACTGGTTAATTTTTACTTTACCAAAAAATTTCCCGCGCATGCAAAAAAATACTACTATTCGGTTTAACCTTAATTAATATATCCATCTTATCAATATCATAGGAATTTTCAATGGACATGTTCTTCAGACAACGCTGGACCGAACGTCGGCTTTGTTACCAGGCCCGACCTGGAAAAGGGCCCAATCAGAGACTTGTCATTAATCCTGTTTTAGTCAGCAACGTTTGGAGACCTGACATCTTCTTTAAGAACAGTAAAATAGCTCGATTTCATGATGTACCGAATTCAAATGTTATGTATGCGATTTCTCCAAACGGTGATGTTCTTCTTAGTGTAAGGTAAGTGGGCTCCAAGTGGAATACTTAATGACGAAGTACTTCAAATACTCTCGATCCCAGAGCCCTGTCACTCTGATAGACCTTATTCGTGGTGTGTGACGATGTTTTCCCATTTGAACGTGAAAAGCCTCTAGGGGAATGAACAGCTATTGTTTCGAAACTCGTCGGGATATCATCGTTATTCCTTTCGTATCCTTTGGGATACTCACGAATTTTTCAAAGAATAAAAACAAAATAAAATGAATCCCCTAGAGGTTTGTCACGCTGAATTGGGAAAACATTGTCACGCCACGAATAAGATCTATTGAGCATGCTCGAAGAAGCATGCGTAGAAAGAATAACATTCAGGGCTTTGGAAATCTCATAACTAATTTTTAAAATGATTAAAATGCCTTTGGTCTTTAAATTTTCCTTAGCCTGCGAAACGGCTCTCCCCATCCCCCTCTCCCCAACCCCCCCTCCCCAACCCCCTTCTCCCCAACAGACCCCCTCTCAGGAGGGCTGTTTTGTAGACTAAATTTTCCTCTAAAGAAATATGTTTATCAAATCCAAAAAACTATAGTATCTTTGAGGCTTTCGCGTTCAGACATGATAAATTAAATGTAAGATTACGGATAAAACGCGTAGAATTTTTAAAAAAAAGAAGACATTTCGGCTAGAACTAGTGATAGCCTTCATCTCAGAAAAACTATTCATAATTAAATGCAAAAAAGGCAACGACTGTATATATGGGCTTTCTGTTGTTTATGAATCAATTATCTCAAATCGTTCCTTTTAGGATAACTACGACGCTTGGATGCCAGATGGATTTTCGTCGCTTCCCTTTCGACGTACAGCACTGTGATTTTCAAATAGGCAGCTGTAAGTTCGTGTTTTTCATTTTCCCGTCATCATGAATGGTTATGCATTGCGTTTTAGCGTTTACACGCCCTATTTGGTAAAACCAACCAGCTTCGCATCGAAAGGTGTCGGTTTAACGTTCATAACCCGTGCATAGAAGTATGCGGATCCATTAAAGGTGGTGATACTTTTGTGCGTTGCACTGTAATGTATCTGTGAATAGCTGACTTATAAAGGAGGCTAAACCTGTACAAATGAGTCTGTGGTCTTCAAAAGCAGCGGTATGCATCGAATTCGAAACTGGTTTATTACACTTTTAAGTTTTGCACTAGTTACTCTCCCTCCTCTCCCACTCGCTCCGTGTCAATGGGACGTCATTCTCATTCTCATAATTTTCATATTATTTCAGATGGAAATACTGAGGATGATGTTATAATCAGGTGGAGAGGAGAAAAAGGCGTGATCATTGCAGACTCAGTTGAAGTACTACAATACACGATCTCTAACATTACCACCAGTAATGCAAAAGTAGTCTACAACACAGGTAACCCATAAATATAATTAGTTGGCATTCATCCACATTCATCCTAAACTGCAGCTTCTTCTTATTGAAGGCATTCATGCATAGACGAGAATGTAACCTTTTAGTTAGAAAGCTATCATCATAATCATCATCATCATCATCATCATCATCATCATTATTATTATCATCATCATCACCATTGTTATTATTATATTTTTTTATTAGCTATAAACTCTTGGCTTTTCTCAAAGAAAAGTCTGAGTACGAGAAAGGGCACATCGTAATTGTTCTTTCAATTTTCAGGGACATTTTCGGAGCCCAAAACGGTGTTCGTCTTTTCTCGTCGTTTGATGTACTACATGTTTGGATATTACGTCCCAGCAGTCCTTATCTGTGTCCTCAGTTGGATCTCTCTCTGGATTGATCCCCGCTCCGTCCCTGCTCGAGTATCATTGGGGATTATTACGATTCTTGCCATGGGCAGCTTTCTGCACGGTAGCAGTGGACCGAAGGTGTCTTACGCCACTGCTCTGGATATCTACATCATTACTTGTTACGTGTTCGTGTTCGCTAGTCTGTTGGAATATGCCATGGTGCATTATGGGTTGACGTGTTGTGAGAAATTAGGAATTGTGGAGGTAAGCGGCATCATGGCTGATTGCATGTTTTCTCTCTTCCTTCTCTTCTTCGTTTTTTTCCTTTGCGGATTTTTCTTTTGAAAATTTGCGCTCTTTTGAGCTTCCGCATTTTTTGCACTATAGCTCCCCCATTCAGAAGCTGTGGTTATAATTTATCTGCTAACCTTTTCTAAGATAGGAAACTTGGTGCATTTTGGTCTAGCTTGGGTACAAACATCTTTACTCATATGCCTTTCATATGCCTTTCACGATGTTATTTAAACCCAAGCTAGACCACAATGCACCATGTTTATCGAACCCAGAAAACGGGCCTATTACAAGGCGAATAGGTTTTGACTATATTTTTTCCTCTTCAAGAAAAACACTGTCTTTACCAACACCGAAGTAGACCAGAACGGCAACGTACGTGACGAGAATTCTACAAGCATTTCTATGGCAACCATAGGTTCAAATACAGGGCCTTCCTTAAATAAACGATTTCAGCAATGCAAACTGAGTTACTTCAAGTTCAACGCTTTCTCCTTAGAAAAATATGCAAGGATTGGGTTGCCTGTGGCTTTTGTACTTTTTAATTTTGGCTACTGGTTGTACTACTATGCGTAGTAACTTCCTATAGGATTTGTATATCTATCGATACAGAATACTCAGGACTACAGAAGATCAAGACTGGGTATCCTGTGGAAGCAAATCAGAGGAGGACTGAAATTTCATTGGTATACCATTCCTTCTCTCAAGGAAGAGTGGGTTGCCTGTGGTTGTTGCTCAGTTTTAATAAAGATCTTAGAGAAATATAGACTGGGACTCCTGTGGGCAGAGAAAAGAGGAAGACGATGTTATGATGGATCACAAGGTATCTATTTAAGGATAATGGACATAAAATAAAATGAGACGAGAGAGAAGGCAAAGGGCATGTCAATCAATCGAGCAAACTTTGCTCTCCACAGTCTAGAATAGACAACGATTGCTCCAGTACAACACAGAATCCATCGCAAATCGTGTTACTACTAATACCCTACAGTATTACACAGTATTACAGTATTAATATTTATAAAATGACTGTTATGAATGTCGCGTTCTGATTGGTTTGGAGCGCGTGCTTTAAGAGAGCACATTGCACTCGCGCGCACTTTCCGTTGCGTCATTCCTATCTATTATTGTAATTTGTATTTCATAAAAGAAATAAAAAACTTGCTTGCTGTGCTGTGTGCCGTTATAAAGCACTTGGGGATTGGCAGAACACTCGAGAAGTGTCCAGAAGCACTCTATTTCTTCAATATATTTAGGCACTGCCTAAAAGCGGAGCTCCCGATACGCAAGTCTCAGGGAGCCCAATTTGAATGAAACTGAAAGGTAAAAATAAAAAATCGGGAAAAAAATCTTCAATTATTTTTTATTCGAGATGAAATTATGAGTTTCAAGTTCTCTGTTGCTCAGGGTTAGCCTCGACTTTGTGCAGGATATTAATGTGTTCCAGTAAAGGTCTGTTGAGTTTCGAAGTGTATTGTTGAAGTTGTGCATTCTTTACTTTACTGTTGGTATTTGTGATTATTTAGACACTGATACCAAAGCCTTGAATTGGGGAGAAAACGACGCCTTTAGCAGAGTAGACCATGCATCCGTTTGTCCCGACCTTTGGGTAGATTAGCTTAGATTATCGTGTGAGGTTTGAAAATAGGCGATATGAGCGCATATGAACAAAGTTAATAGAGGGGAATGGTTATGAAACCTATTGTTATCAGGTCTTTGATGTTGAACCGGTCTTGACCGTGCACAAGGTTTGATTTTTGCTCATCTAAAATTGCAAAATAAGTAAACATAAACTTCGTCTATGGGATTATTGTAAGGGATATTCAAATATCTCTTATAAGTCTTTAAAGTGTATATCAGGTCTAGAATTTTTTTACGGTTTTGGCATCTCTAGATGATATAAATAAATATTCCAAAAAAAATTTTTCGAKTTCGAATTTTTTTCACCTCGAAATCAGCCTTCAAAGTTAGATTTCTGGCGACGCCCAGTCGTGTTGGCCGTGTTTTGGGAGACTGGTAACTAGTGACGTAAATTCGAGAACCGAGAAAAGCGATTGTCAAGGATACGAGTAGACAAAGTATTGTAAACATTGACGCGTTAGTGACTTTCATTCCTTCAAAAAACATAAATTTCAATATRTAATTTCACAAGATGGCTACGAACTATTACGGGAGTGATTGCAGCTCTGAAAGCGAGATTTCAAGTATATATTCAGAGGAAGAGGATGGAGAAATAGAGGACGAATGCCATCAACATGCTGAAACACACGAGTCAGATGATAGCTACCCCAGGTCTGAATCTCACGARTTGGTAGGACCATATTCTTCAGAACCACTTGCTGATGCGGACTGGCTCAGTGAATATAACGAAGAAATTTCAAAGATCGAGAAGAGAAATGAAACGCTTCAAGAAAGATTTGATGGCGTCACGCCGAATAGCGCTTGGTACGTAACTATCAAGATCTAGCTACAAGCTCACTCTTTTT